TCGCATTTCTTGGATGGCGGTGATGTCAGCCTTTGTCTTCCCGAGGACATCAACCAGCCGGGCAGAGGCACCTTCCCCATTAAGGGTCCGGATATTCCAGGTGCATACCCTTAAATCATAGTCCTTTATACGTTTGCCGTGGTCGTCATTAGAAAAATGGGGTCTCATCCGAGGCTGTTTTTTTCTTTTCATTGGGCGGGATTTTAACGTGGCGGGACCCAAACCCAGTGCACGCGAATTTTTACGCCATCTCACTTTAGCTCGCTCCCAAACGGGTGTTTGCTTGCCCAGAGGATACGTGGATATAAATATCCGGACGTTGTGAGCTGCGATTTGAACCGTACGCACAAGAATCGCTTCTGGCCACTCCCAGGTGAATGGCAGTCAAAAGTTGTCCACTTCTGCGCACGGATCCAAGTCCACACTGTTGTATATTTTAGTCCACTTCTTGACCCAGTGTGATCCTTGCCGTACTGCTTCGTCAGCCAAGATGCGAGGTAATCTATTTGACGGCAAACTAAGGCAGCGTACAATAAAAGTCATATGGGCATACAAAGTAATGTAAGACTGAGGCAACAAACCTGTTTCTAAATGTAGCATATAGTTTGGAGTGTTTGAAGGAAGAAAGATTAACTTTTTTAGAAAGAAACGCATAAGTTTCTCCACTGGCTCATATCTGTCAACACCCCATATCTGCGCACCATAAAACATAATGGACCTGGAAGCAGCGTAAAAAATTTTTAACTTTCTAGTTATGTTTATCCTAGGGTTATTTATATAACTCAGCCGCGTAGCATTTATAGCAAGTTTCGCCTTCGATCTCAATACGAGCATTTCCGTAAGTCCAGTGACATCCAGATGGGATTCTAGTGCCCTCTCTGAAAACCAGAACTTTTTATTTATCCATATTAACATTCAGCCCCCATTGCATACAATAAGAGTAAAGATCATCAATCATTTTTTGTAGATCTAGAGCAGAGTTTGCAAGCAGAACGATATCATCAGCGTACAGCAGGACTTTCACTACAGTGTCAGCAACTTTATTACCGTAAAATAGACTGTCACTTAAGTCGTCTATCTATCTATTTTAAATATTTAAGACTAGCAACAGCTCTACGATTTTGTTCTGAGAGATCGTGCCAACCATAATACATATTTTTATCATGGTGCCAACTGAGTATTGGGATTTTCTTTCAAAAGTGAAGCCAGCCTTGCGAGCTTGTGTTTAGTATTTACGACGTTAGAACTGCATGAAATTAATAAAAAGTGTTTAAAATTAGTGTCTAGCCGACAAAACGTAAGAAAACAAATGCAAAATCATATATTTTTCACAATTATCTAACACTTTGCTACACCATCGAAAGCAAAATTCTGTTCGAAAGAAAATTCGATACTCTACGAAAATTTCGAAACGGTTGCATAGCTCATAATACGAATTTCACTTTCGATCTTTGATAACCAGCGAAGATCGAAAATCGAATGCAACTCATAATAAGGGCTTAATATTGACAATTTTCTATGTTATTGTTATGACCTACTGAGTACGTGAAAACGACGAAACAATGGTTACATTCGACGTTATTGCCATGAGATTAGGGCCGTTAGACCAAATCAGGGTACAAAAGAAATTAGAATAACCTGTGGTAAAGGGAAAGCTGTCAAAGGTCGATATAATTCATATGGAAAATGACCAGCTAGCCAAATTCTACGAACTTTCTTTAGTTTATCAGGGTGCCTCAATGTATTCGGTAGCTATAGTATATGTATAGTAGCCATATCGAAGGTTGGGCATTCGAACAGACGTCGAGAAGGCAGCCAACCAGTTCGAGATACATTGTTGTTGTAGCTACTAAACTCCGCTCGGGTCGGCTCATCCGTCAACGTTATCATCTGGTTCAGCTAGAGGGTGGCCCAAGAAGTGCGCAACTTCCGTAGACTTTGTCCATTGGGACAGGGGCATTACCGAGGTGCGGTTTTGGCGCCGTAAATAATGTGGCGACTTTCTGCATGCCAGGAACTCGTTGGGCCCATCTTCGTTTACTCTGCTCAGGTATGAGTTTAACCTGTTGCAATCTTCAGAGCGAAGTTGGGCTATTGTGGTGCGAATCTCTGCGGCATACACAGGTTGAGAGTCTATGTAACTCGAGATCGACTCCCTGTGAATGCCGTTTAAGGCCTGTCGGTATTCAGTTGGGTCCAGAGGTTGTTTTAATGAATCCCTGGACTTCGTCCCGTGGGTGCCCGCGTCTATGGCACTCTACTAGGAACTACCTGCCGAGCATTGTGATTGCTCCTTAATGGGGAGCATCTGGGCCTCTTCGTGCAGGTGGCGTTAAAGCGACATCAGAACGCATCCAGTGGCGGTGCGGAGTGCCGTGTTCTGGCATGTCTGTAGCTTCGTCCACTGCGTCCTGCTAGTCCCCGGCAACCACACTTGCGCTGCATAATTTAGAATCGGGCGGCCAATTGTCTTGTATGTTGCCACTGTTGACACTGTTGTATTGTTGACAATTGCGGTTGTATGCGCCGAGAAAAAGAGCAGACTGTCGAAGGTAGCTCCGAGGATTTTTGGATTGTTAACCGTCGGAATTGGTTCGCCATCGACGTGAATACCCATCTACAGACCTCCTTCGTCCTGGTAGTGAATAAGGTTGCCGAGGATTTTGTAGGGGAGAGGGTTATGCTCAGAAAGGTAGCCGTTTACTATCGAGCACAAGTCATCTATTCCATTCCCAGATGCCATTATCGAGCAATTGTCAGCGTAGGAGACAATAGGGACTCCTCTGGTGGTTGAGGGAGCTTTGATATGTAGTAATTAAAAAAACAGAGGAATGGACACCAACCTGTGGAACTCCCTGTTTAATTTTTCTTGGATTTCTAGGTTTGTCTCTATAGATTACTGACGAATATCGACAACTCAGAAAACCCACCGACCACCGTTGAAGTCCTCAATATCTTCTAGTAGCGTGGAGTGGCTCATGGTGTTAAACGCCTTTGACGGATCCAGCGCTATTAGAACTGTTCTCTCACAGGTTCGGTTTCGGTTTAGGCCATAAATTATATGGGTGTTTATGCCTCGCTGGGTTCAGGTGGTTTGTGTAGTGCGTGAGTAGAAGAGCCTCTAGTGTCTTCTTTACAGGGGAAAGGAGAGTTATCGGACGATAAGACTCTCCTTTGTTGGACGGTTTCCCCGGTTTGTACAGTGGGACCACCCTCCCCATTTTCTAGATGTCCGGAATGACCCTGGTTTAGGACCCTGGTAGGGTAGTATATTCCCGCAGGACCCTAATTTTTCAGCATCGGCATGCAAATTCCGTCCAGTCCTATGGCTTTGAGGATTTCGCCTTCCCGATGGCTACTCGCACTTCACCGCTGGTGAAAACAAGAGCCACACTTGGTGTTGGCAGTTTGTGCAGCCTTCTGGTCACCCGACATTTGGCTTTGTCCGCCGGAGGATGCATCGTAAACAGTCGGCTAAATAGCCCGCGCATCACTTCGGATCCGACGAGGCGTGGTCGCCGAAAGAGATTTGGACTCTGTCGTCACACTTCGTCCAGTTGAACAATGATCTCATGGTTGATCAATGCCTGCTCACACCAGAGGCGAAGTTACAGATCTCAGAAGCTCTTCCCACTTCTTCTGCTTATGTACGTTCATTGCCGAGACTCCGTGGTTAGATCTCTGATACGGGGATTTCCGGGATCGGTCTGAGGAAGGTTGTCACGCTTATCGGCTAAGACAGCCGCTTCGGCGGGAAAATTCGGACGGACAACCCTGCGGAACTTACGCTCACCTACGTGAACATCGGTTGGTGTGGGTAGGACAGTGAAGGTGCTTTCAGTAACTTCCGCAAAGCCTTTTCAATCAGTTTTAGAAAAGGTGACATAGGTCCGGTGTTCCGCGGAAGCAAAGTCGGCACGTTTATCAATCGGGATGATTATGGGCAGATGGTCCGAAGTCCGCTACAGTTAAATTATAGCACCTTTGTGTGCCTTGGGGAACCGATTGTGATATGGGTTGTGAGTGAGTTGTATTGCCTGCCGGTCCCCTGTTGTGTGTGGTCCTGACGAGGGTGCTGCCTTGTCGGGCGTCGCGGGGGAGGTTTGCGACTGGGCAGCAGAGCATGGTCCCACATAGTCACTCGTCCAATCTCGTGTGCTGCGGCGTCCGGAACATGCCCTTAAGTGGCACCAGCCAAGGCAGGAGTTGTATTTGACTGATGTCACATTACGGTATGTTCTGGACCGACAAACCGAGAAGATTGTCGGAGGAACTAGGAGTTGCCGGCGGCGGTGTGTTGGTGGAGGTGCGGTAGTTTCCATATGCATATCTATTGTTGTGTTGTGTTGGGGTGTGGGTGTGTTAGTGTTGTGCTGCTCGGGGCACAACCTGTGGCCACAAACTACGTGGTCCACTGCCGGTGCGTTCTTAAGCCCGAAAAGTTGCGTAGATGACTCCACCTGTCTCAAGTGTTGCACCTTACCGAGGTGGAGTTTGCATGCAATCGTCTCTGGCATACACAGCAGGTGTATATTTCTGGCCCTGGGTTTGACTCTATGCCAGCCTTGCGCAGAAGAGTACGGAACAGATGTAGTCTCATAATTGAACAAAGTTTGATGGATTTCGCCGACCTGAATGGCCCTAGATCACCGAACCAGCAGTCCTTGATCAGGTAACGCGAGCCATTCCGGTACGTAGAACCGGCTGTCGTGGGAATGTGTTGTTGAGACCTCTTATAAGCTGGTAACCAAATATAGCTCCGTGAAATATGCAGTACTAGAATTTCAACAAAACTCATAGCTGAATTACAGAATATATTGATCGTTACCAACGTAATTAGAATTACGGTTAAAAAAACAATTTTTGGAAATAAAAATTGTTGGGTTACAAAATTGAAGGCAACGTGCCGAATTGACCTGCATATAGTTATTGCAAACTTTGCTGGTATTTTTTCACTAACTTTTTTTGTGGCCCCCAAAAATGTAGATAAACTCGTTCCATTGTATTTACTTTTTTATATAGAAATTTAAGCTGAGCTGTGTTTTTAAATAATTATCAAAGCATCTGGTGTGTAATAACATTTGTACATGAACGTCACTTACACTATGAATATCTTACTTAAAAATCAATTATATTAAATACATAAACTAGTATGACTCCGACCTACAGCATGCCCTAAGGATATTTTATATCTAGTATGTAAAAATAAAAAGGAAAAGTTGTAAATTAATTGTTGAACTATTTTAAGACAGTTTCTGACTCAGATTTCTTCCTTTACTGCGCTGCTGCTCAGCTTTCAAAAGAAACAGCAGCTGGACGATACTTCTCAAAGAGCTGTTCCAATCTCTCAGTCGATACAGTTGAGCTCAAACCGTATCCCCAATTCTTCATAACCACATTTGTGCTGCTGTTGCCCATATTAATATCCATAATGAATCGCTCGGGAAATACTGGTTCGTTCGATTCAAGGCCATCAGTTACCGATTGATTCAGTTCCATCGGCGTTTTTATATTAAGTTTTTTAGTAGGTTTCACAATGCGGTAGATTTCCGACAAATGTTTGTAATAACGTTGATTGAGACGACAACGACTCGCCGGATCACGCGCTACGTAAAGACGATAGCTTTTCAGGGCATATTGGAATGCAAAACGGCACGATGTTACTGGAAAGAAGAAGGCGATGAAAGGAATGTTGTAAGTACTTACAGAGAAGATATTTTAAAAGCAAATGTGGAATGAGTGTTTTAATTACCGATAGCAATAATAAAATACGCTTACCACTTGTTTGCAATTCCGATGCCACACTTTCCCACGCTTTATTCTTCTCTGCCTCGGTGGCTTTTTGGTAAATTTGCGGATAACGACGCACAGCCAATATCACTCGGTATGCATCTACGTCGGGTATCTTTTGTAACATTGGATTTACTGTGTCTTTTTTAGCCATGAGTTCTTTGCGTTTTGAGGCGTCAGCCAGATATTTCTGTTCCTCTCTTACGCAGCGTTCGAATTCGTCAATCATTTTGTTTCGCACTATATAATAAAAAGGTTCCCTATTGTGATATTGTTCTTCCAGCAAAAAGTCTAACTTGGCCAATACACGCCACCACTCTATTGACCATTTGTTATCGATGCCAATCTCCAAGTCACGCATGTATTTGTAGAATCCGTTTTTGAACAGCGTCCATGTGTTGTACCATATTTCTAAAAATATTTAATTCATATTTAATATGAACATATATAAATATTTTTGTGTGCGCCCTAATTCCCACGCCAATGGCAAAACTCATCGTATGTTGATTGCTTTAACTACTGCACCGCATATTCAATACTCCTAACAATTTGTTATTGGCATAGGAATTGGGCCGTAAATCATGAAATATACTAACTGTTTGACACGACGGGATTTATTTGAATAGCTGCTTGCCAATCGGCGATAAATGATAATTTTGCGCCAGATACTCGTGGTATATTTTTCGTCTGATCTCTGATATTATCGAAGAATTTTTCTACCGAATCTTTTATGGGCAGTAAACCCAATTGAGCTGTAGTGAAAAAAAAAATATTAAAAATTCATAATGAAGAATGAAGAATGGCTTAATGTACGAACTAAAGGTGTGTTAAACACATTTCTTTTATACATAAGTACATATCGTCGTTTAAAGTACAAACCGCATATTAAGAAAATGCAAAACCTGTCTTATTTCGAAACGGTTCTCTCTTTTATCTCTAATTACCTCTACCTTATACATATATCTAAACCAAGCCAGGGGGTTGCGTTGAACAAATCTAATTTTTGGCACTTTAAACGACGATATGTATGTACATACATATGAAAATACACATACATACTGCAACCAAGTATTACCTGCTTTCTTGTTGAATGTTAGGAAGTAGGTGTTAGTTTCCTGCCACACTTTGATAGCGATTCTTATAGGCTTCGTCAGCTCTTCCATAGGCGCAATTTGCGGAAAATGCGTAAAGTTCTCCGATAGAAAATTCCAACAGGCTTTGCAAATATGCACTATAAAGATAGAAAATATGATTTCGTAAAGAAGAATGATTTCGTAAGGATATGGAAGAATCGCCACTCATACAAACTTACCGGGCAAGTTGAAGCGCTTTGCCAAATACGCCCAACAGAATTGTACCTGCGCTGCATTGCTGGGGAACTTTTTATGTAAAAATGGAATGGATAACACCGCTCTGATAAACATAGCCGTTGTGCTCATTGGCAGCGAATATTTTTGATCCAACGGTGGACCATGTACTACCAATTGGTTACCATTCACCGAGCTAATCAACTCGATCATTATTTCGTTTGCATTAAGCTGTGACGCTGGTGTTAAGTGTGGTCGAGCCAAAACTGTAGCTGGTATTTTCGACTCGATTGAAGTTGGCGGCCTAGGTTTTGTGATATTTGTAGACAACGTAGTTTGCGATATGGCAGGAGGCGGCACAACAGCATTGGCATTTGGCAGAGGGATCACAGTGGAGATTGTTTTATTATTGGAGACGTTACTCAGTGGCGGACATTTAGTAATATTTGTTTTGTCCGGCAAAGAATAAGGTAGATTTATGATGCCTGAAGGACGTTGTGACAGTGCTGATGGCTCCACCATTGGCGAAAGTACAGTCTGCGCGGGAGCAGGCAGGGGCACAGCTGGAGCGGTCGCACGTAGTGGTAAGAGTGTTGGGTGCATCGTTTGCGGTGCCGGAGGCGGTGGTGGTGTAGCAGGCTGGCCCGAAGTCACTGCTGTTATTTGTAGGCCTTTATTAATGAAGGGCGCAGAGAATGCTGCACGTGGCGCTAAACTGACAGCCGATACAATTTTCGGTGTTTTAATCGTATCGAAAGTTTGTGTTTGATTTTGAACACATTGTGGTTCTATTGTCACAGGGGGCAATAGCTGGCCCATATTCGCAGGCATAATTGGTAATTGTGGCTGTGTTGGAAGATGTGTTTGTTGTGTTTGTTGTGTTTGATGTGTTTGATGCGTTTGATGTGTTTGATGTGTTTGATGTGTTTGATGTGTTTGCTGTGTTTGATGTGCTTGATTAGTTTTATTAGACATCTTTGTTTGCGCTTGTATAGGAGTGACCGGGAGAATTTGAAATGTATTTTGTTGGGACTGTGGCATACGCGGCAGGGTGATGGTCTGCATTGGATTTGGCGGCTGGGGCGGTGCTTGTAAGCGTACTTGTATTTGCGATGCCTGCGGCATTTGTAGCCGAGTCTGTGTTGATGTTTGTGGGTACATTTGAAATTGCGGACGCGTCTGAACAAACATTTTTACAGGTTTTTGCGGTTCTGCTTGCAATTGCGCCTGTGTTTTTACGCGAATTTGTGGCGATTTCGATTGTGGATAAGATGTTTGCGACTCTTGCTGTACGATAGTTGCATGTGTTTTCGGCTGTACTTTTGTTAGCGTTACAACCAAGTTCGAGGGTGAATAGGTGGAGGTGGTAGCTGTGTTAAACGAGGGGGCCGCGGCGGATGTTGTGATAGGCGTTTGTTTTTTCTGCTGCTTTGATCGAATAGTGACATTCTTAATTTGTCCATTATTTGTCTCAATAGTGACATTTTTAACCGGCCCCTTATTTTGATCGATATTGACGTTCTTAACCTGTCCACTATTTGTATCGATTTTCGAAGAACTTATTGTATCTTCATCGAGGCTAACTGATATTGGTACGATAGGACTCGAAGTCATTGGTGATGCTTGCGGTAGTTGAAGCGTTTCAATGGGCTTAAGTGGCACAATCGGCTGTTGTATGGTACTGGGAATGGCTTTAGGTAGATCAGCTAACTGTTCATTTGGTTTGTTTATCGGTTCAGAAACGGGTGACGCTGTTGGTGTGGACGTTTCTTCATCACATAATATGGACGATAACATAAGTGATCCAATACTTTGTTTAGTTTTTGGACGTGCGGGTTTTTGTGCCTTCGCCAGGGAATACAATTCTGCGATTATTGATTCGAAATACCATTTATCCTGCAACTGGTAGCTGTGTTTGCGCATATTGACCAGCTCCCAGTAGAACGATCGTAAAATAAGCCAAGTGACTTCGCATTGGCCAGATGTAACGGAACCGCCTAAAAGTGAATGTGTGAGCAAAAGTACATGCGTTATAATTATCATATACAATAATGTATGTACATTATGTTGCCTCACGTCTCTTATATTTTTTTTTATCTTCATGCGAGTTACATATGTATGTATGTATGTCTGTATAAATTTTTATTCTTTTTATAACTCCCACAAAAATATTTTAGATCTATTAAAAAAAAAACTAAACTCGTTAGAACTGCAAAAATTTCAAATTCGTGCTTAAAATTTTTGCAGCATATTGAACTCTCTAAGTAAAATTTTTAATGATCCAAAAGACCTTCTTCTTCTTGCTGTCGGGTCGGAAGGACCGATTACGGTTAAAGGTCAGGGGTATTAAAAATATTCAATGAAAAAATATGCTGCTAAATTATACTATAAGTTTCGGGCGGTAATTATTCAATTTATATATTTCCCTCCAAATTCAGATTGACCTATAGCGCACTCACGTTTAATCGGAAGAATATTTTATCTTCGTTTATTCTCATAATTTTTTCATATTTAATGACCCCTGTCAGAATTTTGTGCATAACATTTTTATACCCGAGCGCACTTGTGCACAAGGGTATATTAATTTTGTTCACATAACGGTTGTTTGTAACAGCCAAAACGAATCGAGATAGATATAGACAAATGTATAC